TTTTTATTAACTTTTGAAACCGCACCATTCTTTTGTGTATACCTGTATAATAAGGTTGTTCTTGGCTTTTGTTATGTAACTGGTTTTAAGACCAGTTTTACATTATATAAAGAGTTTTATGTTATTCTGCTGATATAAAAGGGGAAAGTCAATGAATAACTGTATTACTTGTGGTGTTTGTGTTGTTTAACTTTTGTCATGGGTAAAAATATAGTGTTGTTATTTTTGGTATTTAATTGCTCTGGTTATCCTATTTCCAAGCACATCTTGAATAAGGGTTGCCAAGCGACCCAAAGACACCACAAACTGGAACCTGCATCAAGTTAGACAGGTGTCTCACTTCCACTAGAAACTACTTTACAAATTACATTATTAAAAATACAAAGTGTAAACTGAACATGGTGGACGAGTGGTTAGCACTCCTACTTCGTATTCAGGAGGTACCGGGTTCAAATCTCGGCCCAAAGACCAGCAATCCTGACTGATGTTTTTCGTTATTTTCCTCAGTCCCTCCAGGAAAATGCCAGGACAGTACCTTATATTAGGTCATGACTGCTTCCTTCCACATTCTTTCCAATTCATTATTCACTGTCATCCTCTTATTTGACACTATGTACTCCGAGCTACTGAAAAGATGTCACTAAATAAACAATACGGAAATAAAATATAAAGTGTAATTTTAATGTTCCAATCCAGTAAAATCAGTAACTCAATGACTGTCCACAGTCTTATGTGAAATGTTATATTCAGGCACCAAGTGTTTGAACATCTCTAAACAAAACCATTTGTTGCGTACAAAACAATATACAATGCTACACGAGTGCTGCCAACTACAACAACGTCATGAAACAATTACAATATTCAGAAATGACAGCAATGCAATGTTAGAAAACTGACTTAACATGTTTAATTGCTTATTTATATGGATGCAAATTATTAACAATTAATGGTTCATGGTTATTTATTTTACTGCACTGTATCATCTTAATAAGTTATGTATCAAAATTTTATCCAATATTCTTCTGGCAAGGCTGACTCCATACATCAATGAAATTATTTTGGATCATCAATGTGGGTTCTGTCATAACAGCTCTACAACTGATCAAATTTTCTACATTCACCAGATACTAGGAAAAAGTGGAGTACAATGGGACAGTCCATCAACTACTAAAGACTTCAAGAAACCCTATGACTCAGTTAAAAGGGAAGCTCTTTATAATATTTTGCTTGAATTTGGTGTACCTAAGAAGCATCAGGCTAATTAAAATGTGTTCAAGTAAAACCTCTAGCAAAATTCATGTAGGTAAACATTTATCCAATACATTTCCTATTCAGAATGGCCTAAAACAGGGAGATGCTCTATTGCCGTTGCTTTTAATTTTGCCTTAGAATATGCCATCAGGAAAGTTATAAAAAAAATCAGGGCGGTTTGAAATTGAATGGGACACATCAGCTTTGTTCTATGCTAATATTAAACTGTTAGGCAATGATATAAATACTATAAAAGCAAATATGGAAACACTCTTGATGGCTAGTAGGGATGTTTTTCTAGAAATAAATGCAAAAAAGATGAAGTATATGACATGTCTCAGCATCAGAATGCAGGGCAGAACCAGAATATAGCGACAGATAATAAATATTTAAATAAATGTGACAAAGTTAAAGTACTTGGGGATGACACTAACAAGTCAGAATTACATTCATTACAAAATCAAGAGAAGATTAAATTCAAGGAATGCGTTCTATTATCATTCAGTTCAAAATATTTTGTCCTCCCGTCTCATATCTTTGGCATGTGTGCTGTTCGGGTGCAAAATTTGGTCTCACTTTGAAGGAGGAACATAGATTGGGGGTCTTTGAGAACAGAATGTTGAGGAGGATATTTGACCTAAAAGGGAGGAAGATGGATCCCGGAGAAAATTGCATAATAATGAGCTTCATGGCCTATACTCCTCACCTGACATTGTTACGGTGATTAAATCGAGGATGAGGTGGGCAGGACATGTGGCATGCATGGTGGAAGGGAGGGGTGTTTGCAAGGTACTGGTTGGAAGGCCTGAAGGGAGGAAACCACTGGGAAGACATACGCATAGGTGGGAGGATAACATTAAGATGGACCTTAGGGAGATAGGAATCAATGGAGCAAACTGCATGCATGCAGCTCAGGATACAGTCCGGTGGTGGACTTTTGTGAGCACGGTGATGAACCTCCAGGTTCAATACAGGATGTGGACTATTCTTTGACAAGCCGAGTATACAATCATCTTTTCAAAGAATTTCCTATACCATAGAGTATGATACTACAGTGGTACACAGATTTCAAGTTTATCCCATACTACTGCACTACATAGATGCCATGGTTGTTCCAAGAATCATACTAGCACTTTTGAAGTATGAATTTGTGCTGTTATGAAACTAGCATATCTTTACTTAGTAAACTGAGTGTAAACTGTCTGTAAGCAGCTTTAATACTTTTGAATACATACAAATTCAATTAAAATTATTGTGATGTAAATGAAAACACAAAATAAAGTTTATTTTTACATTTCCACATGTTTATGTGCCTATAACAAGTATTCACTATAGAATTTTTTCAATTACAAGGAACTCTCATTAAAACAACACTTCTACATTTACTTCCAAAATAAAGTAACCACATCGAGCTCAATGTTGTCACTGATCCACTTACAGCTGTGGTCAAACCACAGTAGAATTTTTTTTTTTTTTTGGGAGGGGGGGAGAGTAATGTTTCAGCAATGTTAATGGATCCCAGCTGTTAGTAAAGGTAACACAGCTTTTAATCTGGACACTCTTAATTTTTATTTTAACATATGAAACTGAATATAAATAACTGTAAGAACAAAGTGGTTACTGGACTGAAGTTGGAGACCCACACCAAATTAAACAATAAAATTATCATTCATAAGAATACAAAGATACATAATTTCTTGCAATTTTCTGCAAAACACTTACCAGTTTATCAGTAGCAGGTTTCACTGGTGTACTGCTGTACTGGTATGCTTGCTGTCTGAGTCCAACCCAAGCTGGGAAAGTTGATCCACCGCTAATAACCTGTCCTCCACTTGAGCCTGCTGTGAAAGGCACACAAGCACAGATAAGCTCACACCCATATCAAATTTCACTTATCCTTTAACTTTTGCATATGCATTCAATCAGTCCTCATCAGCCTTTAAAAAACTGAAGCTTTTCTGTAAATCAATACCTTGTCTCACATTTTACAGTAACAGTCTACAAAGTATTAGCTCATCTGTAAACATAAAAACAAGGAAAATTAATTAAGCCTACCCTCCTACTGCACACACTTCCAGTCTACAAATGTTGCATTACTGTTGTGTTTAGGTAGTGTAACTCTGTAATTTAACAGTAAAATGGGAAATAGTGAAAATTCCTACAAAGTTAACATTTTAGATGTTTCTTGGCCTTGCAGAAACAGGACACTAGCAAATGACACCAGAAAGATAAAATGAGATATGACAAATGTGAAACAGGAAAACTTGTAAACAAAACAAAACAAAAGACATCATAAAACCTATGAATAACAAAGAGGAAATATCACAAAAAAACTATCACAATGGTTATAACATATATATGCATGCTAATACTAATGCTGGATTATGAATGGCATTTTAATGTATACCTTTATGGTATTTGTTTTAAATAACAGCACACCAAAAAAGCATTAGATGATGGCATATGAGCTGATATGTGTAGCCGTGTTTTGCATAATCCTATCTGATGGTTGTTTTACTATTAAGAATACACAATTTAGCTCATTCATTAGCCACAGTGTCTGCAATTGTAAATATGTTACAGAATGCTGTAACTGTTGCCATTACTCCTACTCCTACCACCACCACCACTGCTGCTGTCATTTATTATCATTACCATCATTATCACCACCACCACATTAGTCATTAGGGTGCTGGTAGCAGCAGCAGTAGTAGCAAACTATTTTCTATTTGGGAACCTTACTACTTAAGTTTCCACAGTGTTGCCATGCTTGTAATTGATAACTTCTAAATAATATATTAAGCTGTGACAATTTCATCATTTTTCATTCACAAAATTTCACACACTGAGAAAGGAAAAGAAGAAAAGCATTAATTAGTTATCACCATCAAACTGAAAGCTGCATTTGGTATAACTGTCATGCAATTCTACATTCTACAAACAAGTTACCCTAACAATTAAAAAAAAGTTAGGTTAGGTTTTGCATTATTTTGTGACCTTTAAAAAGTGGTCCTGATATCACCCTCACCACACAATTGTGTGCTTCAGTCATGTTGTTGTAAGTGAATGTGAGAAATCAGAAGTATAGGGTGTTCAAAACGTCTCTATACAGTAGATACATAGTTGCAAGTCTATGACATGCATAGATTGGCAACATGGTTATTTCTTGTCAAGGTTGGTAGCACAGATTTATGACAGTTGTTTACTATTCAGAAGTGCTTACAAGTTAGAGGAAATCATTTCCAGTACTTCTGTAAATAAATGTAAATGCAACTAAATGTTTTTTCTCAATATCATATTTATGCACACGAGCATATTAAATAATTTAAGTTGGTGAACACAAGTTATCCATCATCTACAGATCTGAGACTTCAGCATTTCTAAGGAATGAAGCAACCAGTACTAAAACTCCAGGTTCCGTACCCCACAGATCAGCCATTTAACAACACAAACGGCAAAAAAGGAAGAGTGAAAAAACCCAGTAATGTTCAATTCATATCAGTGATTTAAATGTGGGTTGTTCACTGATGGATCATGTCCAATCGAAACATGTCGTAAAAAAGCGCTAAATAATGTAAAATCGTATTTACGATAAAAAGCTCCAAAATATAATATTTTATACTACATAATGTTTTAATATTATATAATTTTAACAACATCATTTAATTACAACGTTTGTGTATAGACTGTGAAAATAAATATATAAATAATTTGTTGTTATTGTAAATTGTCAAGTAACCTATATAAACGTTCAATATCCATACTTATGTGTTGTTTTATACAGGACTGCTTGTGATATGTACATAGGTTTTATTAGCCATATATTTGGCTTCAATGTTATTTATTTATTAAGTGGTTTAAATTATTACAACAGTATTTTTTTTATTTATGGCATTCAGTTTTCACCCACCTGTTCACAGTGGTCACTTTTATGAATGTATTAATACAATCTTATTCGTGGAAAATTGTATTAGTAATATTCGTAATTTATATGGTGACCTTCAGAGACTGTAAAATCATTACATCTCTGTTAGGAAAGGCAGTTTCCACTTTCCTGGAGGACAATAATCAGAGAAGTTTGTTATTCATTTTGGTAATTCAAATTAATTGTATATGCATTTGTTGTGCTATCACTGCACATGTTGCAAATGAATATAAAATGAGAATTTAACTAACAACAAAACATAATCTGTCTGTATAACGACAGCCATCATCTGAAGACAAGTGTAAAGCCAACCCCTGAAATGTGTATACCACATACATATCGACAATGGACAATGACAATATTGGTATAATCAAAATGGCAATTTAACTATACAGTTAAGAAATATCTGAACATTCGAGCACATGATGATTTTGTACATGTATTTTTAATTATGTGTAACTGTTAATAGGAATGGCTTTAAAATGGTCCTCTTGAGCTTCATTTCAATATGTACTTTCACTCTCAATGTCCCTGTTGAAAACAAAAACTACAAATTGAAGAACTGAGATTTTCAATTGTTTGGTGGCAATCTCAAAGGATGCAAGGAACATTTATCCAGCGGAATTATTTGAAATGTAAGATAACTATCCCTGAACAATTAGTAAAGTAAAACGCAGAAGAAAATATAAGGGCAATGCCACCACACATTTTTGAGCAGATTCAAGAACCTGTTTTATTTCAAACATAAATTAGTCAAATTAAACTCAAATATCAAACAAATAATTGAAGAGAGAAGAAAAACACATTTCTAGCAATCAAAAAAGAAGAGGATAAAACAGAATACTGTCGAAAACGAGCAATAGCCAAAAGAGAAGTCCGAAAGATCCACAGAAAGGATTGGGAAAGTTTTGTGTCATATTTAGAATATGACATAACAAGACACAACCCAAAACCTTCAAAATTCTAAAACAACTGGGTAAAGAAACAAAAGAAGCAGTTCGAATTAACTGCATCTCACATCAAACATGGTTAAATTATTTTCAGGAACTATGGACACAAGACACAGATGATCTTCAAATACAATATTCTAATAATAATGAAACAGAGGATATCACAATGGATGAACTATTGTCAGTAATTCAAAATCTGAAAAGCAATAAAGCACCAGGAGAGGATTCTATAAACCAGGAGTTGTTTAAATTCGTTACGCCATTGTTCCTTCAACGATTTCTTAAATTTCTCAACAAAATTTGGAACTGGGAAGAAGCACCTGAAGATGGTCGAAATCCATTGTAATCCCAATTTACAAGAAAGGAAACCATAAAGACCGTGAAAACTACAAATGCATAAGTCTATTAACCCCTCGCTGAGGAAAGTCGTCTTAAGACGTGCTGGCATTTAAATGTAGGTCTTCGGAACCACGTTCAATGACGTGCGGCTGTAAGCCTAATTTCAAATGCCCATAAGTATGGAAATAATAACGACTGATATATGATGTTTGTAGTTGATTTGTCGTGGAAAAAATGCTCTTTCTGTTCATGTTGTGGCAACGTCGCATTTTTGGATCTGTGATGGCAAAGTCCGTGTATGAATGCGTGACCTAAGAGTTTACGGAATCTTCACTGTGGTGATTGTTTGTGAAGGGAAGAAACGTGCCTGTTATCCCAAAAAGGTTTATTTTACAATCTTACCTAATGCTGTGAAGGACAGAGGGGAAAAAAAGTATCTGAAACGGTCAGGGACCCCATAATTTTTCTATAATATATGCCGTTTTCATGTTTCGGTGTGGCAGAATAACAACATTTTAGCACCCCTATATTTACAAGGGTATGGAAAGAAGCGTTCCTAGAAAGAGACAGGTTATAACTGTTATGTATGATGCATATATTTGGCCTTCAGTTCGGGGTCAGATGGTGGGGTGAGGCTCCCACATTTCCTTCCGCTTATTCCTGACACAGGCCTCATTGCGTGTTATGCAGGAAACGCCAGAAAAGGATAGAATCTCTTTGTTTGTGTAGTGTTTTGTTTTGGTGAAGTTTCAAGAACCACCATACAAAACTCAACTTCTTCCACTATGTGACGATGTTGCAATCCTGTTGCATTCTCTGCAGCAAAGTGCTGGAACGAAAACGAGGAACAAAGTGGTACATGACATTGTTCAAAAGATTACTGAATGTATCAATACATAACGCAATGGTCATGTATCGGTCTGTTCCAAGTAACAGGAAAATAGACACCCTGAAATTCAGGATTCTTCTCGTCCAAGGTCTCGTAGAGAAACACGGTCCTGCTGTTCCACGTCCTGTAACCGGCCGTCCATCACTTGAGCCCCCCACCTAAGAGACTCTCAGAACGACATTTCCCGGAATGTATTCCACCCACTGGAAAGAAGGCTAGACCTCAAAGGAGATGTGTGGTGTGTACGAAACACGGGATGAGGAAAGACTCAAAATATTGGTGTAGTGAATGTGGGGCAGGGTTGTGTATAGATGGATGTTTCAAGAACTATCACATGAAATTGAAATTCTAAACCACCTGCTTTTATTCCTCACACACAGAGTGCTCATCTTATAAGGTAAGATTATAAAACCATCTTTTAAAAGGATTTCAGTGAAATTTCATTATTATGTCTCATATAGTTTAAAAGTTATGATAAAAAAGTGTTTTAAAGCAAAGTTTAAATGGACATCGAAAAAATCCCCACTGTACGAGCTCGACTGCGGCATTTAAACCCCCCAGCTGACGGGTTAAGGCCCCTTATCTTCCAACAAGGTTTCCCAAACAAAACTTTATGTGTGCATCATGTTTCACCCACACATGCTACATATTCCACCTATGTCATCCTTCTTGATTTAATCACCATAACAATATCAGGTGAGAAGTATATATTGTAAAATTGGTGCTAATATCTGAGGGAACAATTATTTATATTTCTATACTTACTTTAATTCCTCATTTGGAAGTATCTAAAAATACATTTGGAATGTTAAAAATACAAACTTTTGTGAGAGTGGTGATGATAAACAGATGCTGTGAGAACGTGTTGTTTTTGGTGAGCCACTACCTGCGCCATCTTCAGACTTCAAGTTAACAGTCTTCCACTCCCATGAATTTTGCAGCATCTTGATGCCAGTGGGAAGCTGGGCTAATGCAGATAAAATGTAATAGTTAGCATAACACCTTTACAGACTAAAAATTACTTTGCAAACTTCAGTTACAATTTATTTAGTGGATCAATTTAAATACTTCTCCAAGCCCTCCTTTGGGCTTCATCATGAGCCAGTTCTCTCCAATCCACTTCAAAATTTATTTCTGAAACTTCTAATAACTGTCTTGGTTTTCCAAGTGACAACCTTCCAAGAAATTTGCCCCTCAGAATTACATATTAACTTGTTTATCCTAATGTAACCTTTTACAGTGCAACAATCTATAGTATTTGTAAAAATACTTGTTCTAATGGGTATATGTAATATCCAAAAATGACTGAAATCACAATCTTCCAGTCTATCTTGTAACTACATATATCACAATACAGCACTAATTTTTAAAATTTTTAATGTGGTGTATATTCTTTGTATATGTGCTTATCATGGAGATAGGAAAATAATTAAAAATAACTCAATATTATCTGTCTTTGCGTTACCTGAACTGTAAGATTTACTCATATTTACATAACCTCTTCAATTAGCAACTGTGTATTAGGTACCATTCTGTACATGCAAACTTCCCAATCACTATTTACAGTGAGCCAGGAAGTCCCACCCACAATTTGCTGTGTGCAACTTATCAATACACGTAAGCTATAGCAAGAGCTAGTTCTAAACATTATAACTGGAATAAATGGACTTCCATCACACAAAATAGCTAATCACATTTTGCCTTTGATCTTAAAAGTTGTAAACAGTGTCTTCCTATTTCGCTCTTTGAAGAGCCACTCACTTCATACACTTACATTACTTCAACGTCCTAATGAAGTTTCATTACAATAATTAGGACTGAAGAGTATTTAACCCAAAAAGCACAACTTAAAAATAAATAAACTCCCATTCACCAGCCAAGTGGAAAAATGTGCAATGCATCAAGAAAATGTTTTAAAATATCTTTGCTGTGATGTGTACTGTCAGGTGTATATTCTGTTATGACAAGTCATTTTGGATTAAACCACCAACCTGATCAGATGATGTAAACATGCACACTGACTGACTCTATGGCGCAACAGCCCGAAGCTGAGCCTTGGCCTCCTCCCATGTGAAAGGTTTCTTTGTCTTTGAAGAGTGTGTCTATGAGTAGTGAGTGACAAGCCCACTGCCCCTGCACAACTTCTACTCAATCCTGATTTGTCTGCTAGAGCCATCTAGTAGTGAATTAGGAGAGACTTGGGCGAGAAATGGCTGCTGAATTTTGCTTACGCTCGCAAGGTCTTTTACATACCATAAATCTATGACATGGGACCGCCAGTTTTACTTCCCCTCCAAAGAAAGTTGTGCTATGGATTTTTATCACCCTTAAAAATCCATTGACCTCAGCTGGGTTTGAATCTGTGAACCTTGCATCCAGTGATGACCACGCTAACCACTAGTCCACCGCGGGCAACAAACACACTCACTATCAGATGATATTCTTCCATGATGTGACAACACCATAAACTGGAACTATCCCTAGTAATGGTTTGCTCTTGTGAGGAAGCCATGCAGAACACAGCAGAAAATTTGAAATACTGCTCCTATTTCAGTGTTCATGATTAAATTACTGGCATCACATCAAAGAGCATAGCTCAGTCAGTATAGTGACTAGCTACGGGCTGGATGACCGGGGTTTGATCCCCGACGGGGGCAGAGGATTTTTCCTCTAGCCTCTGCGTCCAGACCGGCTCTGGGGCCCACCCAGCCTCCTCTACAATGGGTACCGGGGTCCTTTCCCGGGGGTAAAGCCGGCCGGGGCGTGATGCTGACCACTCACCCCCATCTAGTGCCAAGGTCAAGAAAGGGAGGAGCTATACCTCCTCTCACCCCAAGTGCCTACATGGCACATAGCGGGACAAACTTTACTTTTACATCAAAGAGCAGTGTGACCAAATTACATGTGAATTATCTGAGGGAAATGGTGTAGCTTGGCCAGAGAATGTCTTTGATAGACAGTCCTCATAGGCTAAAATTTGGAGGGAGTAAAATCAATCTTCTAACTGAGCCATATGCCTTCTAAAGTCCACAAATAGTTGGTGTAATGACCCATTATACTCCACTTTTTCTCTAATATTTGTGAAATGCAAAAGATCTGATCAATACAAAAAACATATTGGCAATAAATATACTTGATATATGCAAAATGGTGTTAAATACATTAGGAAAATATTTTTACTTTTGTTCAGTAAACTATGAATTTAAATCCTCCCCATCAAGAGTTGATAAATAAAAACTCACATAGCAAGAGATTACTTACCAGTTGATGTTAATGGTAAGTTCTTCTGAGATACTTTGCTTGACTGTGGTGGAGGTTTTAGTGCTGGAATAACTGATGTTCCAGGTGACTCATTCTGTTTGCTTTTCCCAATAGAACTTGTACTTGCAACTACTGGATTTCCAACTTTTTCAGGCATTCCTACAGAACACACATTTGTGGGCGAAGAGCTCACAAAGCTATTTGGTGGGTTAGTATTTGCACTAGCTTCCTTCTGCCCTAAATGTTTCTCTAGTTCTGCTATAAATTTTGGATCAAGCATCTTCACTGGAGACTTTATCTCCTCTTTGTTTATGATGGTATGTTGTTTCGCTGGTTGACTAGAAGACACACTTGTGACCATAGAAGAGTTCACTCTGTCCTGAAATGTAGACTTGTCAGATGAACAGTCTACTAAAACTGAACTAACATTAGGCCAATCAGGAACTACAGGTGGTGAACACAAAGGCCGACTGTCCATACTGACATCGCTTGGCCAAACACTTTGAGAGGATGGTGATGAATTCTTTACAGATGAGATTTCTGTGCAATGATCTATGTTCAGGTACGTGTTCTGCGCAGGATGAGAAAAAGAAGAACTTTGTTCTGGAGTATTAGCAGCAGAAGCACTGATACTGGTTCCTGAAGCTGAGGGCAGTACTACCACCTCAGGTGTCACACGAGAATAGTACCTGTTTGGACCTGAAACACATGTATAAAATTCATAAACCACCAAGAATTAACTTCCATGCCTCTATTTTATAGTGTACATTAACAATCTCTCCAGAAGAAACAAAAGGTTCAATACTAATGCTGAATCAGTTCACAACCTCATAATTTAATTCATGTTCCACATTCATATTACCACCTCCCACCAATGTTATCTCCCTGATCTTCTTAGACTATCTGCTTTCCGAAGATATCCACTACAAATACATCTTATAAATTCTTGTTTCTCCCACATGATCTACTGCCCAATTCTCATAAATTCTTTGACTAAGTATTAAAATAACATTTGTAAATAAAGTATGCTGTTAAGTATCTACTTTCAAAAATTTTCAACTGTTTTTCTATAATTCTTTTGCTAAGAAAAAATGTGGAGAAAAATTTAAGTGACCACACACACAAACATTACTCGCAAGTGCTCCAGCAAGTAAACTAGACAACAGTTTTTTAAGCTGGAAAAGAGCAAGCATTCTCTGAATGTATTGCTCACGCACGTGTGAAAATGACTTTCACAGTTTCATATCAGACTGAGACAAAAAAGTCAATTTTTTTGAGAATTGAGATGAGAAAAATAATGTTCTTCACAAGACCATTTTTTTTACTGTAATCACAAACTACAATACCAGCTACTTTTTCACAGTGAACTAAAGTTGAAATTATTCACGAGTTCAAATGTGGTGAAAAATATATTTGTGTCAAAAATTCAACTTATTGTCTAGTGTCAACTCTGTGGAAGAACAAAGAGAAAACTTTATGTACATTTGAGAAGAATTTCACTGTGAACAAAAAGACTAGAAAATGTTTTCACGACACTGGCATGGAATGGTTTGAAGTGCAGGGGGATGCTGCTAAGCAATCAATGGTCCCATTTTGAAGATCCAAGCAGGAAATTTTGTAACGCAATTAGAACATGAAAACCACAGTTGCAGCAATGGACGGCTCAATCATTTCAAGAACTGGCATAACATCATTCATGCTTAAGTCAGTGGAGAGGCCCTAACAGCCAGACAGCATGAAAACAGCAAGTGAATGGGTACAAAGTGTGTGAGACAAGTGCAAGCAAGGATAAACCAAAAAAGAAATCTATAACACAGACAAAACTGGACTCACTCACAATATGACCCCCAGAAACAATGTTTAAATTTAAAGATGAGAAATGTGTTGGTAGAAAAATACTAAAAAAACCATTTGCATTGATGTGTGAAAATATGAGTAGAATGTGAAAAGAAATGTAATTGGATAATCTCAAAAGAATCAACATTTAAAAAATGTAAAGAAGTTTCCTGTTGAATACAAAGCTAGTAAAAAGGCACGGATGTCTTCTGACAATATGTGTCCAAATGGAATGAGTTATACTGGATCCTGGGAACAACCCGTTCTTTAAGTGCCTGAGCACTGCGGGTCCCAACTTTTCGTTGGCTTGATCTATACATATTTAGTAGGACTCCTTGGATGAGGGATTGTTCCACTGCACGGCCTCTACCTGGACACAGGACAGCACAACACAGAAAAACGCAGACAAACATCCATGGCTTGAGTGGGATTTGAACCCATGGTCCCCGTGACCAAGCGGCACAAGGCACACGCCTCAGACCAAGCGCCACTGCGGACCCATGAGTTACAGAATTTAAAAAATTAGTTTGTGTAGACAATCGTCCAGCACACCTGCAAACTGAGAATTTATAGAACATAAAACTTTAGTTTTTTAATAGGCAAGAACAAGGATTGGATGACAAGGTGTCAAAGTGAGACACAATTTATTTAATGAAAGATTGCTGAGATAAGCTGGTGGTCCGAGAAGTGAAGTCTGACATCACATACAGAAATAGAGGAAGATGCAGGAACAGAGAGACAAGCAGACTTTATTGACAAATTGTGATTGATTAGGCTGTTAGAGATCTCTAAAATTCATGATTTGCAAATGCATAGTATTCTTCCCTTACTTTTATTCACAAAACTAATTCTCTTTTTAATTTTGTCATTTCCAGTTACTTAAATACTAATGCATTTTCAAATAAATTATTTGGCAACATCCCACAGGACAACCACCTTCAAGCGAGCACATGTGCACATCCTTACTTTATTATGAAACAAGACCAAAAATTTAAATTGCTTATTTATAATTTCTTGGATTTCATCAATTAACTTGGTTTTCTTAAACTGCAGAGTCCTTTGACTGAAATTACAGAAATAATTAAAATTACTTACCATAGACGTGTGAGGTATCGAATGGATCTGGTGACTCAAACCTTGTATTAGTAACAGAGACAGGTTTTGAATCCACATTGCTGTAGCCGTTTCCAGCACCGACATTAAAAGAACAGTTTTCATACACACGGTTGCTTATTTCTCCGTCACCCCAGAATTCTATGACAAGTGAGAGAACAGTTTCAATATAGGCACTTTAATCCAGAGTGGGAGGGAAAAAAAAGAGAGGGGAGGGGGCAAAGTTTTATCAAATTTGTTTGCCGTTTTATACCTATGGCAATGATGATAGCAAACCAAAAAGATTGTTGGGTACCCAAAATGTTGTTTTAATAAAATGTTAATGTGTGTGGGCATGTCCATTTCATAATGAAATTTATGTTTCTGTATGTAGAACTGCACAAATATATAAAAGCTGTCACTTCCTCACAAATAATCACACAGCCGCACTACAAAATGAAAGTAATGAGTGATGCCACCTCCCAATTTGTTTCTGATTGTCAGAGGTGTTCATTCCAAAAAGATGAGTTGCAGTCACCTGTTTATTATATATTCATATTCTACAAGTCCCATGGGCAATTTTCTGTGTGTTCATTTATGAGGTATGAAGATGTTTTCTAACAGTATCAAAAGAAAATAAAATTCAGAAACAAAAAATTTCAGGGGTAGTGTGGGAAAGTGTGTGGTTTATACAACTTTGTCTGTTATACTGCATGAAAGTAAACATAAATAAATATATTTCCCTGAAAAGAGATGAGAAAAGACAGCATATATCACATGCACTGAGAACAACAAACTTAACAACCAATTCTCATTATAAAATTCAGTGAGAATTCTTTTAATGTAGTAGCTGCAAGTTTTGAGGCCAGCAAAAGAATTTCTAGACAAAGCAAACCAGTTATCAGTGGTGAATTTCTGAAACAAGCATGACTAGCAAGTGCAATCTCATGAAAGACTTTCAGAATAACAACACAATTCTGCAATGTATCAAAGTAGCCAAAAAACAATGAAGGACAGATAATAAAAAATAAAAATGTCCACAAACAATTAAGAATGGCTTTACATCCTAGTAATAACCCATTTTTCTGTTTGTTCTGATGAGAGCACAGACATTATTCAGTTCATTTAGCTATCACAGTTTACTTCTTGAAAGATAAGTCTGTGAAGAACAATTATAATTGGTTACTATAAGCAGTACAATAACTGGTCTCACAATTACTACTCTGAAGCAATTTCAGTGACATTGTTAACTTTTTCATTTATGTATATTTGCGACAGTTTATTTTCTGTGATGAACAATGTAAAATCCAATTAATATTCCTGGAATGTATGTTTTCCATAATGTACAACACACCTCTTTTAGTCCCATTAATGTTCATACAATTTCAATGGCTTTACTTCTTGTAAAGTATATGTCATTTCATTTTAACTTAATCTGTAAATAGCTGTTATAAATATGTATTTATATTTGTGCTATGACCTGTTCTACATCCTTGGCTTAGGCCCATGAAGGATCTATGGAATGTAAATAAATTCTATTCTATTCTATTTGTTATACCATCCACTCACTGAGTTTATCAGTTGACACAAATCATGATCTGAACTTTTTGCAAGACATTTTGATGACAACGTGCAATAATGTGGCCAAACTTATCATGAAACTAGTGTAAAGTACCAACCCAAAGGGGGAAAGTGACAAAATTAGCTTACCTTCCTCTGCTGCATCTATTGGCTCATCCATAATAGAATTTGTGTTTGTGCTTTCTGAAGTGGAAACTGAACGAACTAATACGGGAACTTCCACAGGTGTAACCAAATCAATCAGTACTCCTTCCAATGAACTTGTTTCACCTTTTGCCTCTTTTGTGCCACCAGCTGCAGCTTCAGCTTGCATAAATTTAAGCCCATCAGCAACACTGTGAGGTGTTTCATCTGTTAGCTTGGAATAATTAAATTGCTTCTGGTTGCTTCGCCCCCTGGCCTGATGGGCAAGTCCTATAATGAAATTTATATTATGTGTAATAAATGTGTGAGGTAGTACTAAAAATATGAGTGCTGTCTTCTGGGTTGTTGCACCATGTATTGTACATGGCACAACAACCCAGAAGACAGCAAACATTAGACTCACCGCTGTGAAAACCTCAAATCATACATATGAGATTTTAGTTTCTCATGGTGGTGAAGATGTTTATGTTAGTCTTCTGCATAGTAACAAAGTATGGACTTGTAGATACCAGTGTTTCTCTGAAATGTTGGTATCTACCTACAAGTCTACATGATATTTCTACTCGGAAGACCGATATAACACATAAAATATTTAATTATGTCAACACATTATACTTTGGAAGGGGGGGGGGGGATTCCAACAACTAAATTATCAGACAACTGAAGAAAAATTTAGTGCAGTTGCAAACAGGAAGTGATCTTTAACATATGGAAAATGAAGCTATTTCAAGTAGTTGTAAAATACCATGACAGTGGCAACAAATTAGGAAGAACAAAGAACTGTGCAGATACATTAAAATATGTTATTCAATGCAAGAAATTAAAAGTGTAATGTATAAATGTATCAATGCAATGAATAAATGTCTTTCCTTAAGCGCTTTGTCTTTAATTCTATAAGCATATCTCTAGAAACAGCTACACTTCTAAGTTTCTGAATTTAGAGGCCCAATTGAGGTTCAGGTACTAAAATAAAAACATGTAACAAAACACAGATAAAGAATAACTTACTCTTTTTCCTGTCAGGCAGCTTAGGAGCTGGACCTGGATCTTGTGCCATGCCTAAGACATCAGGAGGTTCCATAGGATTTCGCAAATAGACGTCGTCTATAAACACTGGGCTACCCCATGATTTGCCATATGGAGACCCATGGCCTAAAAAGAAAAAAATATTAATGTAACTGAAAGTCACATAAATATGTGTTACTTTCTTATATTTAAACTCTTTTAATTCAATAACTGTAAACACTTAGTTTTGTTACCTGTATGAATAAATGAATTCTGAAGAGGTTTGCTAATGTCTTCTACAACCTTCTTTCGCATAGGATCCACCAAACACCTTGGAAACTGACCAATCTGAAAGGTACGCTGATTTTGTCCTTTCCACCAATAAAGTTCTGCTCTGTAACATAAGTTTCATGAAAGATTTTTCATTCTTCATATTGTGGTAATGGTACATTAAACTTTGTATGTTGGCAACAAATGTCATTAAATGAATCAAGGCAATTCATGAGGAAATGACAAAAATATTACAATGATATGACTCCCTATCAACTAGTAAAGGATATATTACAAACGTTCATAATATAAGAAGAAGAAAAAGGCACAGAAAAGTATTCTCTAATTAAATTAAACACCACATTTTCATATAATGAGTGACAAAATTACATGAATATTAGGCAGAAACACACGAGTCAAAATGCAAAAGTGAAAAAAGCAATGCTTCTGCTCAACAAATAGTACACAAAGTTATTTCTCTCTTTTACGAGTAGTGTAAATTGCTTGGGGGGAAAGGAGGTATAGCTCCTACTCATTCTTGACCTCAGCACTAGATGGAGGTGAGTGATCAGCATCATGCCCCGGCCAGGCATTACCCCCAGGAAAGGACCCCGGTACCCACTGGACAGGAAACTGGGTGGACCCCAGAGCCGGTCTGGATGCAGATGCCAGAGGAAAAATCCTCTGCCCCCATTGGGAAACAAATCCAGGTCATCCAGCCCACAACTAGTCACTATACTGACTGAGCTATCCCAGCTCTGTTTTCTACTTTATTACATCAACAAACCCAAGTACTAGATTTAAAATATTTCTATGCAGCTAACTGAACAGAGTTTAGAGCTTGAAATACTTGTCATGAAAAATTTTCTAATTTGTGGACGAATAATTCCTTCTTTGAATTTTGTGTCATTTACTTTTGCTTTAAATAGACCATAACTATTTATGCCAAAAGCCTTCACAAAATCTTTCATTAGGCTCTGCTTATATGCAGCACGAGGAGGATCAACTGAGGATCCCCTAATGGCACACGTTAATCACTGCTTGTTAGAGGAACAAACTCTTTCCTTGCCGGCCAGTCCCTAACAATAAAGTAGTTTTCTGTTACTAGAGTATCACAAAGAAAGAGAAAACAGTAATACTCGCTTGTATTCAGTACACAGGACATGCTGTTAAATTTCTTTCATTCTAAAAACACGCACCACATATATTGATGGCGCCCTGTGCTAGTTAATAGACTTCCTTGAAATTTACTTTAGATTAATCAATAAACAGCTACCATCCTTCATCTTTCTGTTTAAATTCCAGTTCTTCCTTCAATCAGTCCATATATGTCAAGACACACATAAAGGGAATCCTGCATTAAAATTTCAGATTTCTCTTTCTGAATATGGAAATCACTGTACTCTCAGAAACAGAATTCCAATGTTGAAACCTTTATCCTAAATGCTCTACCTGTTTCTTTGTCATATTTAGATTATGCATCAGATCACTACAACTTAGATAAGGGATGTATGTTTCTAAACCCCGAAAATGGGGTTTTACCAACAGTGAACAGTAAAACCCCAAAATATGATGTGAATAGTTCTTTTTCTGGACTTTTACCAACAGTTTGGTAAAACCCAGGTTTGTCTGGTAAATCCTAGGTTTCACCAACATTCGGGCTTTTATGGTAACATTAAGACCAACAGGAAAATATAAGGATGAGCTGGTGATAAAACACCACAAACAGGGATTAGAAATTAAGTTGAAGAGAATGTAGTAGGTAGATAGGGAGTGAGAGAATACACCCTTTTGACCAAGATGACCTACAACAGCAGGAACATCATGAAAAAGCAGGAGGAGACAGAGCAGAAACTAAACACCTTAAAACACTGAACTACAGAAAAATGCCAATGGGACAAGTACCTGCCATCAATAACAATGATGGTGTCTCCAGGTTCAATATGCATCTTGTCTGCCTCATCAAACTTTTGGGTGACCTTCATGACGGGCGGCAATGTTTCCGAGAGAAAGTTCCTTAGAGCCTGAAATGTGGGGCGATCTGTGGGAACTTTGGACCAACACTGCAACAAAACATTTGACATCCTGACAAAAATATATAAATAAACCCTGTAACATTTTAATTCTAATTAACAGAATGTTGATGCCTTATGCAAACTTTATTGAAACTTCTGTCACTTTCTTTCAACTGAAGACAAAGACCTTACAAACAGGCACCAATCAATTTCACTCCAATCCTTTCCAATTCACAATGCATAACCACCCTCTCATCTCACCTATGTAGTTGATGGAAATCCATTGAATAAACTATGAACCTCGCAGGCTGGGTTGAAAAGAACGTTCTAATCAGCAATGGGCACCCTCTTTTATACAAAGGCCAAATTAAAAAACAATAAAACCCCATGCTGACCATATGCCAAGTGATAACAATGGTAGTTATATTCTTTCAATAAAACTTTCCAGCAACAAAAATTATTTCTATTAACATAATGAAAAATATTAATGTAACTTTTTTGGACTTACAGCTTTATTCAGAACACTGGAAAAACATCAAGAGGAAGGTTGCTACCGTTTCTTTGCCTCCAAGTTCTCAATATCTGAATGTCCAAGGGAAGTAACAATTTGCAAGCAGATTCCTCATCTTTTGTCAAGCTGATTTAAAGATTTACTGCTGACAACTTTAATTTTTGAAATGGACTGCTCACAAACACACATGTTTTTGAAAAGGCTCGTCATGCATGTCTACTTATTAGCAGAAACTTAACAGCAGGTGATTTGAATTTATAAAAGTCAGGCAGCCAAACATGTATGACCTGAAGCTTGTGTTCGTTCTTTACTTTACTTTACTAAGTGACAATATACAGCTACTATTGTATTTTTAAAATGGAAACTCTGTCAATACTGCATTGACAATGATAAACACTGCCGCAAGGCCACTGTTTTTTTACTTTGCCAAATACAAGCCAGAAATGTAAAATGTACTCTTACATTAAGATTTTGACAATTCAGAAAAATAAACATATCTTATTCCAGGTGAACATAAACATGAAGAATGTCCACAACTAACATTTCACAAGAACAAACGTGCATTATTTCGTGGAGATACACACACACACACACACACTTGTTACCATGGTGAGAGCCTTGCAGTAGACACCATTAATTTTATGCATGATTCATTGTGGAGTGACTGTCACTTAGCTAAGTGAATGCATGGGAACTAGGGCTGAATAAGTCTCCCCATTTATTTACACTTTACCTTCCTAGGTTTCATCCCTTCAATAAAGCAGCACTTCAAAAGATATGTAAAATTTATATTCAGTAATGCTGACTGATGTTCTGCATTATCACATTCATTACCTGCAACATACGCTGATACATGTCAGGTGGGCATGCTTCAGGCTGGTGTAACCTCTCTCCTTCTCGATCAATCTTCTGCAAAATTTGTGTCCCATTTAAGCCTATCCATGGCTCTTCTCCAAATGTAAACATTTCCCATAGTGTGACACCGAACATCCATGTATCTGTTAACATCAATTTGTTAAGTTTAAAACCCACAGATTAAACCAAAATATATTTGAGAACCCACATTACTATACCTTACAGCAATAATGTACTGCTTCTTCAATTACTATATACAAATATAGGAAAATAAACCTACTTTCAGCAGAGAATCCAGAAAATTCAATATTAAGTTAGCCATATAATTTCATTCACAAATAAAATAATCACTACTACCCACAAGAACACACAATAAGAACAACATAAAAGCTGCCCTAGGTCAAAACATTGTAAATATTTCTTGAGTTGCTCCTGCATAGGACTCAAAGTAAATTCATTTCAACCAACAATTAAACGATCTGAAGCTTTCGCGGCAATGTAACTTAATAAAATGTTCTCGGGAGATCAGCCGCATCAGATGGTTAACGATAAAACCGACATTTCATTTTATTAACACTTTAACATTTACATGTGTAAGTAAATTTGATACAGAATAAACTCGCGCTACTTTTTATATCTATCATCAGTCAACAATATATCAAAAATGGCAGTTACACTGAGACTCTAATTTCTTTACATAACCATACGTATTGCTGTCAATGTTGGGAGTTTAATAATAAAAATATTAAGACAGGCCAATAAGATTAAAAGCGCCTATAGCTCACAGCTTTCAAATGTTATAACTTGTTAATTCAGTCTGAAAAGTACACAGTTACGATGAGTGGAGCACATTAGAAACTCAGTGGATCACAGTACAGAAAGTTGGCCAAAGACAAATTAGTAAACAACATTACACAGTCATAACATTTAACAGCATCAGCACTGGAAAGGTCAGAGATGAGAACATTATTTAAAATATAAGCCCAAATTACTGTCAATGGCTGGTTCAGAAGGAAGAATAAACATTCCCAATTACAATTCCTCCTGTTTCAATCCACAACAATATCACATCATTATTTACATTTTATTCTTTTAATTATCAGAAGTGAACATCATTCTAACATCTGCAATAAGCTTCAAAACAACTGAAGTTTTTGCGTAAAGCAGGTAGTCAAAACAGTACATTTTGAAATGCGGCCCCTCATATTCCGATGCCCTGCAGCTTACTTAGGGCATCCGTAAGTCTGGCCTCGAGACCAAGGTACATGCAACAGGACAATAACAGAAATAATTTTGAAGAAGCAGACGGTAATAATAAGAATGAAGTTTACCTTTAAATGTAATTAAG